TTCCTTCTTTACCTTCCTAAACCGGAAACCAGAATAGGGTTTCTCTAAATAGGAGATAATTTCAGCCTGACTTAATGAGAAATCCCAAAAGTACTTGTTCAACTAGGGGCTATGGGAATACTGGCAAGAACAGAGAAATTTCCCAGGGAAGCCATCCTGCTCCAAAGTGGCAGCTTCTAAATGAACGGAAATTTCCTCCGTGGCGTCTCAGTAAATAATTAAGTCTGTATTACAAAAAGGATTTCTTCTGAGGTATGATGGAACACGTGACTACATCAGGAATGGTTTGATAAGATCAGAAAGGAGTAAACCAGCTCCATTCTCCCTGAAGGTCACTTTTAGAGTCATAGGATTTGAGTACTTTGGAGTTGGGAGAAAACTACACAATCATCACATTAAAACCTCACTTTTTAGATGAAGAGTCTGCGGCCCAGAGGCTCTGTGGTGTGTCCAAGTGCATAGAGCTGCTCTGGAACAGAGTGGGTGTTCCGGCTTTCCAAAGCCCTTGATTCTAGGACTGTAAATTAGATACAACATTAAATTTGACACATTTTTAAAAAATTCGTAGTCATCTGAGGTAGACTGTGGCCATTTATCTCTAACAAAACATTAATGCTGTCTTGGTGTCAAAGCTTTTTCCTAAATTAGGAAAGAAGTTATAGAGAAACACTAGTCTTTGGTTGGCAGAGTCAGAAATGAAGGAAATTCTTCAGGAGGGTATCTGACTGTCTTGATAAGAGCATACTTTCCAAAAGTGGAGTCCACAATCAGAGACTGCTAAACATCTTTCTTTTTTCCTTTTGAAAATATGAAAAAGGAAGCAGGGCTCGAAGGGGTGAGAGCTGGCCCGTGGTGGGCTGGAGGAAATGTGCCACCAGTCCCGTGTTTGGGAAGGGCAGGCCCTGACAGACAAGGGGTCAGGGCCCTCCAGCAGAGCTCTGGTCAGTACTGTCATGAGTGATGAGTTTCAGAATTATAAACAGTCCCCAGGGGAGTCAGCCATTCAGCTGGGAAAGGGATGTGAATGTTCCCGATTAAACACTTCTGGCTTCCAGGCTATTTTGGCTCTCGCTAGCCTTAGCCATCTCTATCTCCTTTCGATGTGTCCTCTGAGTCCTTTAGATGCCATGTCCGTGGGCTACCTTCCCCCCACTGAGTCCCTCTGCCTTATCCCCACTCCTTTTCTTCCATACATGCTTCTGGGCTCTGTTATCCTCAGGAATAGCGACAGCAAGTTATGAGAAGCAACAGTTATGAAAACCACAAGAGAAATGATAGGCTTATTTGACCCAGCGCTGATGTTCATATTTGTAATTTTACATAAGTCTATATAAACTTTAAAAAAATTACACCTGGATGTCTTGTTCTCAGAATATGAATAGGTCTTTAAGGAAACCTACTTAAAAAAAAACAAAAAAAAAAACACATTTCTTTTCAGTGGCCTAAAATTAACAAGAGATGATACTAGCCTAAAAGTGAACAGACTGTATTACAAGGAGAGTATATCCAGTACTATGCAAATCTTCATGATAGCTTCTACACAGTAGTAGTCGATTTTCTATGGGAAATGTGAACATAGTGGCCTTCCGCAGATTACCTGATTTCATGGGAAATTGAACTAATGAGAGCAAGTATTTTTCCTACTCTAGTATATTAAAGAGCTTTCCTTAGCTAGGAACTTAAAAAGAAAGAAAGAAATCAAATAAGACAAAGGATCTGAAACCAAAATCCAGAGTTAGAAACTCCCTTTTCTAAGCTGGGCTCCCTCTGCCTTGGAATTGCTTCTGAGGCCCCATCTGAATGTATGCTGCTCAGTTTTCTCTCATTAAAGGATAACTAGGCCACTACAGTGGTGTTAAATACTGTATGGAAAAGTGTTTTACGATCCAGAGATCAAAATTCCAACGTAGAACCCAGAAACAGTTCAATCACTTTAATTAAAACATTGATATCAAGTGGCACTAATATCAGTGGGGCCCCAAGATGTTCAAGTCCGATTTACATACCACAGAAATTCAGAAAGGCTCTTAGGTTTCAGGATTGGGGGAAAGTGGGGCCTTATGAGTCTGCCCTTTGCGGGGGCTGTTTCTAGTTCATATCGGCTCCAACCTTAGGGTACCCATGAGGGGAAACAGTTGCCTAAAGGATCTTTACATCAGACCAGTTCAGGGTAGCCTGAAAGTAGGACCTTCTTTTTTTTTTTTTCTTTTTTTTATTGGGGAATTGGGGAAGGGGAACAGTGTTGGGAAATCGGGGAAGGGGAGCAGACAAGTTGCTGTTCTTTGGTTCTTCAGTCTAGTTGTGGAGGAAGTCGCCTCACTGGCCCATGTTGGTATTATCATTGCGCTCTTCCCGGGTGAGGCAGATTGGTCGCCGGCCTCTCGCCGGCCACTCACAGCGGCTCTTGGCAGCTCACACCGGCTGCTACCCGCTCACGCTGGCTGTTGGCCACACATGGTAGGTAGCTTATGGCAGCCCACTCCAGCAAGGGGCTGCAGCCTCCACTATTGCTGGCGACTCACTGCAGCCCAGCGCCAGGTCGAGCTGTTGTTCACCATCTTAGCTGTAGAGGGCGCAGTGTCACTGGCCCTCATGTGGGATCCAAACTGGGGCCCTGCTGCACAGAGCTGATGTCCCAAGCCAGCTCTTAAGCAACGCGCCACTCAGCTGGCCCAGGTAGGACCTTCTTGAAATAGTCCTTGTCAGCTCACCACATTAATAGACCAACAGCCTGGGCTTTTCTTGCTTCGTCCTATTCCAAATGTCAGAGCTGAAGTGTGTGGTGCCTATGTTTATTGCATGGGGCTTGGCATATAGGGTATCTTTTTGGTTCCTCTCACCTGGCACACAGCCCAGATGCCATTACTCTTGGCTTCATGAGCGTGCACAAGTTGCTCATAAACCAAATCAAGATGTGACCAACAGCTGGATTCTTATTTTAAAGGAGTCACATGATTGCAGGGGGAAATCAGCTTTCAGGCTTTTGCCTCACATTGGATTTTGTCTGTGGTTTCCCTATATAGTGCCAGAAAGCTGCATGAATATTAGGGGTTTGAGCCAGATGCTCAGACAGACAGGCAGTCACATGCCCACAGTACAGAATGACCTCACCAAGCAACTCATGTTTCCAAGATGTTGGGAAATTTGGACTAGCTGAGGAACCTTGTCCTTGCAATGTTAGGATGTTAGTGGTTGTTATGATTCAGCAGTAAATGCGAATCTGAATTTCAGAGCAACTGGCCAGCTGCTCAAGGGGACGTCTAAATTGCTGATCATCTACTTGCTGAAGACGGAGCAGTCTTCAGAGCAGTTTGATCCCTGAACCAATTCAATTAGAACAGATTCTAATTAGATCTTCTAGCTCAGAGAAAATCATCATGGATGAGTTGACATTCTCAAAGGCTCTAAGGCTTCCATTGCCCTTCGTGAATACAACAGGGCCTACAGGCCATCTCTCATGCATCCACCTATGCTCCCAACTCAGCCTTTCTCTGTACCTGGCTGTCATTCCTGCTTCGTCGTGGCTTCTGAGTTCTGGCTTCTGGGTCTGATGAACAGCATTGAGTCAAGGGCTTAACTTTCCAGTCCCAGTTTGGCCATGGACAAAGCAGTCATCTATATAATTGGAAGATATTATTAATAGGTGTATCAGAGTAAAGCTTTTTTTTTTTCTGGGTCACTTAAGGACGGTTCCCATGGGCTCCTGAAAAAGTTTATTCTGCTGGAAAACTATTTGCAGGGAACTTAATGAGATATTATCGCAGAGCCTAATAGAAACTTGTCATTCAGAGGGTTGTCTCATTCTCTATTGATGCACTTCACTAAACACATACAATATAGATTTGAACATCTGGAATTACTGGAAAAAAAACAAACAGGTGGTAATGATTCACTTTACAAAGATTAATTATGAAGTCCCCTAGTGCATTTAACCACTCATTTGTTGAATTAAGTTTGTCTATTTGAAACAATCTCTGAGCTGGGGGGTTTTTTTTGTTTGTTTTTTAACAGACCAAGATAATGCTCTTTAAATAGAGACAGAAAGTTAGAATTCATCAACATTCAACCATTGTCATCATCACATTCCAGCTGCCCCTTCTTTCACAAGAGAAAATTTAGGTGCTCAAATGACGGGGCTGCTGGGGGAAGAATTGGGCTGTTTCTAATTAGCTAGACATCAGAGTCTAACAGTATTTTTTTCTCCCATGCCTTATACTAACTTTCCAGTAAGAACATTAGTAAACTACAGTGGCCCCATAATTCTCAAATGAGTATTTTTAGGACTGTCCATTTATAAGAGGTACACTCTTAAAATTCAGAATTGTAATCTACTTGGGAATGGACTCAACATTGCCTTGCCTTCTTCATTCATTTCTCGTAGTTATTTTTTCTTCAGCCTGTGTGACATAGAAGATAGTTTAAGATGCAAGGTTGTAAAGGTATTTGTTTTTGGGTGGAAGGTTGAGGATTGAGGGATGGTGTGTATTTAGTAGCCTCAGGCCCCTCCTGGAAGCAGAACAGCCAAGGGCAAAATTGGGGCTGAAATTCCAGCTCTGGAAATTACCAGCAGTGTGGCCTTGGACAATGGCTTTGAGTCTGTTTGCTCCTATGTAAAATGAGGATAATGTGTAACATGTACATCATGGAGTTGTAGCGAAGTCTGAAGTAACATATATGAAACACTCAGCACAATGCCTGGAACAGAATGTGTAGTCAGTAAATCGTGGCTGTTACTGTTGTTCTTACTGTCTGGGAAAACATCGTTCCTGAGGCCAGGTCATTCTCTTGCCAAACGTCCCTTGGTATGTTCTCCAGCTCCTACTAGACTCCCCCTCCTTCTGTCTAAAAGTTCAATGCCTGTTGTCTAGTTAGCTTAACCAAGGTGAAACGAGGAGTTGTATGTGTACATGAAGGTAATTTATAATATGGACACTAATTTTAATTTCAGGAATTCTGTTTAAAAAAAACAAAAAACAAAAGCCTTCATGCTTAGACTAATTTACATTAGAAAAATTCCAGGCTGAGTCCTACGTTATTATTGAATGTTAACTCTAAAACAAATTTCCTTAATATCACCCCAGATAATGTTTAATTTGGATAAAGTACACATCATTTTGGATGAGATGGTGTTAAATGGCTGCATTGTGGAGACGAATCGGGCAAGAATTCTTGCCCCTCTACTAATTCTTGATAAGATGTCAGAAAGCTGAAAAGTGGCTCTGCCAAGCAACATCGACATAGGAAATGAGAACACGGTATACCACTCAACATCTATAGCCCAAAAGAATCAAGAAGAGCACACATTGCAGAATGGGGTATACTTCCAAAGACATTTTAAATAGGTGTTTTTCACACCTAAATGGAAAATGAAACTATATTTTAAAATATGATATACAAAGAAAAATCTCTAAGAAACGTTTTATTTTTTAACCATAAGCATGATTTTCCCCACTTGTTTAAATTTTCTTAAATAAAATTTTGGTCTCTGCTTCCCTTTGCAAATGAAGTTCAGGAATAGCAGCATGAGGTGGGAAGAAAGTGTGGCAGCTCTCTCAGCCAAAAGTTTAAAACTGACTTAAACACACATAGCACCTGGTCTTCTCAATGCTGATTTTTTCCTTAAAAAGTTAAAATTTTACTTACTGTATTGTGTACCTAATGAAAACTGCAGAATTAAATTTTATTTGCTAGTTTGTAAAAGTCTGATATCCATTTTTATGGGCACTTGGCAATTACAATGCCATCATGTAACTTTGTATAGAGAATGTTACTACCAAATAATAAATGGTTAAACATTAAAAGAGAGCCTTTACAACTATTCTTTAAGCCATATTATAAAGGATGTGTCTTACTAGTAAACTTCTTTGTAAATGAAATTTACTTTAGCTGAGAGGTTAAAAGTAGAAGGCAAAAGGTATCTGTGTTCACAGTGGTATAAAATGCATCCCTCCTCCTCCTCCCCTTCCTAACTTATTCCTTCAACCCCTTCTCCTGGAATGTCTTGAAGCAAAGAAAACTGCTAAATTGCTACAGAACAACACCCTAATCCCTCACCCAAACTCTTCTGTATGCTTTTGCTGCTCAGTCAACAGAACATACAGAACTGTCTTAAGTAAAAGCATATTTATGGGCATGTACAGATAGAAGAGCAAGTGCAATGGAGGAAACAGAGATAAAGTCTTAATGCATTAAGCTATTGTGCCATCCAATGGAATTACGAGCGCGCTCATAAATACAGATAAAGTCTTGATACATTAAGCTATTGTGCCATCCAATAGAATTCTGAGAGCGCTTTCATCTGTAATACTCTATCCTCCAAAAGGACCTAAAGGGACATTCTAGGCACTGATAATTCATTCAGTACAATTTGATTTTTTCCCCCTCTGTGTGTGTAGGGAGGGGGGATTTTATTTTAAACTCTTATCTGTTTCTAAAAATCTACTTACATATTTCAAAGTTTGCACCTGTCAAGACCCAGGCAACCAGTCAATAATGGACTCATTCAGGGAGGCAAAGTAAACACTTCTGCCCCACTGGACCAATGAGTGGTATGTGTGTATAGATCCACCTTTGCTTCAGTAGCCACGGTCTGGGGAAAGCCCAGTCTAGATCAAAGTGCTTTGGAGGTCTTTCCGAGAACATATTTGTTGGGAAACACTGTCCTAGTTGGTAGGCACTTTAGCATATTGAGGTAACTGCTGAAACTGGTACACCACAAGTAACTAGGGAGTGAACAAAATTAATTTTTGGGTCACTCCAAAATAGCACTTGAATAACATCTTGGCACAGATTTTAGTACCTTGAGAGAATAACAATTAAAAAAGATACTAGGTAGATAACAGGAAAAAATACTCAAGTACCTAGTATATGTGGAGACCCTAACACTTGACTGATGCAAAGTGAACTGTAATGTGACTGTGCTTACAGGTTGTGTCATCTCACTTCAGGCTTTATTGCTGAACTGTGACTACCAGCTTGAAGTGATTCTCACACATGAAATTTATGTCTCAGATGGTCAGCTTTACCTTATTCTTGGACTTTTCTTTCTGCAGGAATACTCCTGACATTTCAAAGAGTTAACTGATTTTATAAGACTCATCAATTTTACCTGCTGTAGCAAGGATTCAGTGAACTTTTTCTGTAAAGGGCCAGATAGTAAATATTTTAGGCTTTGTGAGCTATATGGTCTGTTGTAACTACTCAGTTTTGCCACAGTAGTGCAAAAACAGCCATAGATAATACATAAATGAATAAGCATGGCTGTGTTCTAATAAAACTTTATTTATGGACACTGAAACTTGAATTTCATAAAATTTTCACATCATAAAATTTCTTTTTCCAACCACTTAAAAATGTAAAACCATGCTTAGTTCATGGGCCATACAAAAGCAAGCAGCAGGCCATAGATTGCTGACCCCTGTGCTTGGCTAGTCTTGGAAAAAGCTGGCTATTGACAGACATTTTAGAGACTTAAATAATGGCAATACTACACACATGTACTGGATTTTAATTCTAATACGAGTATAAAGTTTTAGTCATGCATCCACGACTTAGAGACAATCACCACCACTATTTTTTGGATGAAAGCATAGGTCATACATTTAAATATTATTATGTTTTATTTTAAGTTTTATTCTCACAGAGAACTGTGAAGATAACAATAGGTTATTTAAATGCTGCCTCTGATTACATAGTCACAACATTCTCATGCAGAGAATAAAAACAGTACTCAAATGATTGTAGTGGGAGATCTCTTCTAATGTAGAAAGGGAATGTACCTTTTAAACAGGTAAATAATGGGCAATTCCAAAGAAATGGTTTTCACTCCTAGAAGAGCCAATTGGCTAAATCAAGCCTAGCAACACTTCTTTCACCTAAATGCACAGATATGAAAATCAGAGGAGTTTGGAAAATGGAAATAGAGCTTCTTCATTCAAAACCAGAAAACAGCAGTATCCTGGTGGTTTCTTTTCATGATAACACATTCAAAAATCATTCTTAGGAGCAACCCAGTCGGGACCCCCTCTCGTTTTGAGAGCTGTCATTTTCTACTCTAATAAATTGTCCTCTATACAAACTTTTTTTTTTTTTAAATCATTCTTAGATTGTAGATTTACATATCCCTGCAGATACAATGGTAAGTAGCGGACCTGGTGTTTAAAAAGTTAATATAAATAACTTGGCCATTTTTAGCTGAAGAATGCTTTAAGACAAAACACAACAGTTGGATCACGATTAAGCATGTGAACACATATTTCTTCTAGCTTTCCAGTTTCAGTAAGTGTACTGACTATAGAAAAATACATTTCTTCATGTAGTAATTTCAAAAAACGAGTAAATCTCAATGATTCAAAATGAAAAGTATCTGGTTAAGCTCTTACGTCTGGTGGTTGCAGTCAAACAGTCACATGACACAGTTTTGTACGCTGCGAACATTTTAATGATTATTGTTGAGCATACACTTTGGAAATTTTTTACTTCAAACTGCAACAAGTTAAATAAATGTTTATAATATACAAAGAAAATACAACCAAAAGTAAAACTTGCTTTAAGTGTGCCTTGCATCTAGACCAGTGTTTTTTTTTTTTCTTTCCCCTTAATATATCTTTTCTTTTTTGAGCTGCACAAACACACTTAAGAATTTGATCTTTATAGTATGGCATTTAGGAAATAAAAATATACTCCCACCTCAAAGAAATAAAAGGTTGTACATGATTATATGCCAAACAAAGAGAGAACACTAGCATACTCTGATAGTGCAGGCATCATTGAAAAGGGGAAAAAAAAAGCTTGAGATGCTCATTAACTCTCTAAGTTTTAAGGAAGCAGGATTTTTGACCAAGAAGCTTAAAAGCCAGCAAAACAGGGATCAGTGATGGCAACTGTAGTGTATGAAGTATGAAACAATAAACTTTACACAAATACACTGTTAGAAATATACCAGTGAACACTGAAGATCTGGGAAGCTGCTCTTTGGAACAGTCAGGTAGGAACACCTTATTCCAGTCACATAAGCCCTTGTAGCAACATACAGTGTTCTGTGCTATATATTTGCTGGCTGGGTAGTTAAAGGGTTTGTTTTGTCATTAGCAGCTAACAAATTTATTCTGTATTTTCTTAAAGCCTTAATGGTGGAAAAAAAGGCAAGTGTCATTAGCATGGAGGATCATATACTTTTCTGCACACAAACACAAGAGGCTTCACTGGTATTTTTAAGTCTCTGATGTCTTCCATTGCACTTCAAAGCTCAATTGAGATGAAAGCCTTTCTCCATTGTAGCAGCTAGCAGGCGCTCTCTCATGATTTCCTCTGAAGAATATTCTGGCAACTTTAGATAATGCACGCATGTATTCACTGATGGATAGCTTGCATCAGTAGCATCAACCTACAGATGGAAGAGTGAAAATAACAGGAGACCATGACTTTAAATATTTATTTCTTTTAATCCTTAAATAACTAAACTGGGTTCTCCATTAGCTACAGTTTATACCTTGCGTACAACAGTGAGCCTGGGATGCAGGTTGGCCAGTCCACCTGGGGGTAGAGTTGAACAACCAGTGGTAAACTGCAGGAATGCTTTCCTTTCATCTGAAGACATGCCACATAAAACCCTCACAAACCTCAGGAAACCGGGGCTAAAAGAAGAGAAATACAGTTATATTGATTTGACAGCTGATATAAATGAAAAACACTCATTACTTCGTAAGCTAGCAAGAACCTTCCCCTCCCCCACCAAAAAACCCCCACTATGCACATGTCAGAACAACAGCACTGTGTAGTGACTTTCGGGTAAATATGAAATGAGCTGATACAAGCTACTTTAAAAATATCCTTCAAGACTTTTTTGTACTCAGTAAGAACTGAAACACTGATGGAATATAAGGATCAAATATTCAACAAAGCCAGGAAATCAGAAAAGCTCAAAATGCATAATACATCCAAATATGGCTAAATTACCAAAGGGGATTTGAAATAATCCATTTTTGTTACAGTGAAATAAACTATATGTGCCATAACACAGATGAATTTCATGACCATAATGCTAAACAAAAAGACGACAGACCTTAAAGAATACACAACTGCATGATTTTGTTTAATAGTGCTCAAAAGCAAGCAAAACTAATCAATGGGAATAGTGTTTTAATGACTAAAAAAAGAACAAGGAGACTTCTGGAGTTGTTTCCTATTTTTGGTACAGTTATACTGGTGTGTTTATTTTGTGAAAATTCTCCAAGCTGTACATGCAATTTGTGCACGTTTCTGTTATATTAAAAAAAAATTACTTTAAAAAAAATGCTGTTTTTAAGTTTAAAATAATTCATAAATATTCCCTCATTTACATTACTTTGGGAACTTTTAAAAAAAAGTTATTATAGGGTCTTGTAATCTTACCAAATGTCAGTGGTAAAAAACAAAACAAAACAAAACTAGCTGAGGCACTGTTCAGATTAAAAACATCACAAAGGCTTCCAGTCAAAATGGCAGAGTATACGTAAATGCTGTGGCTTGCCTCCTCTCATGATCACATCAAAATTATAAGTAAACTACAGAACAATCATTGGGAATCACCTGAAATCTACCTGAACAGAAGTCCTATAAGTATTCAGAGGAAATGTACACATCAAGACCGGTAGGTAGGAGGAGTGGAGACAGGGAACAGGCTAGTTGAGCAACCACGTGTGGAGGTTAAAAATCAGGAGGGTATCTTGACAGTAGAGCCTCCCTGAAGAGTGAGGAGTCCTAGCCTCACACCAGGCTCCCCAGCCCAGGGTTCAAGTGCCGGGAGAGAAGTCCCCATAACTTCTGGCTGTGAAAACCAGCAGAGATTCTGCCAAGTGAGACAGAGGGAGGCTGGAGTCCCAGGTGTTCCTCTTAAAGGGCTCACGCACAGACTTACTCGCTGATGGACTCACTTGCTCTGAGCTCCAGTGCTGGAGCAGCAGCTCTAAAGGTATCAGGAATATACAGTGAGGAAATGAATTGTCTGGCTTTGGAGCAAGAAC